GATTTCCTATTTGAATTTATATCCAAACAAAACCAATGAAACTGTTTTCAACATAAAAACTGTTTTCAACATCGTCTTGAACCTTCTTCCAAGAACCAGCTTTTAGTGAATATACACACACACACGCTATGTTTACCTAATTTCACCAGTTTGTAATCATCAGACAAACTGTCATATCCAAATCCACATATCAAGGAAGGGGAAAAAGGCCCTAAATTGCAAAATGGTATTTGCTTGGACTCCCTTGTATTGAAATTGAATATTACATATGACAGACGGGATAAAAACCATATGCATACCAATCCATTGCAACTGCCAATGATATGCAGACACTCACGATGATGATCGAGATGAGGCTTGACGTCAATAATATTATTGATATTTTCTGCCACAATGACGTCATTGTGTGTTGATCCAAGGTCAACAGTTTATAGATGATAGAAATTGACCATGAGTATTCGCTTTGTGATTGATTTTGATTGATTGAGGTGAGCTCTAGTGAAGTAGGAGTTGGAGATCAAAGAAAGCCATGATTTGGAAACACACTTGAATCGTATCAGAGAATTCATGGGCAATTTTAATAATATTTAGACAAGGAGATGGTGAGGACTGTAGGGCATTAATGTTGTAATCTCTTTGCTCTTTGCCCTTCAACTCATTGCTTTTTCTGCTTTCTTCTTTTTCTTCTCTGATACTTTCTTCTTCTTCTCCAAAACAAAAGCAGAGAAGCCGAAGCAAGAAGGCGAAGCCAAGTCATAACTTGTAGTGATAACTTAACTCTCAGTTAATACTCAATTTAGAAAAGATGATACATATATATATTTAAAACCGTTTCGTCTTCATAGTGAATACAATTGAGATCTCTCAGCTTCTTATATGCTGCCGAGCAAAGAACAGTCTGTGAATAATAATTTTGTTGAATAATAATTTTGTTGAATAAACACTTTCAAATTAGGGTACAAGTTGGGCTGGTTCAATCCGGAACTAGCCCGAGAATTTTCGGGCTGGGCTTGTTAAAAACTGAATTTGGGTTGTACTCGGACTGAAAATTTCCACAACTCGAGCCCTATTTTGGATTGAGTTCAGTTTGGGCACCCAAAACCCGATATAAATATTATACAATTTTTGTAATTTTTTTTAAAAGTATATATTAAATCTGATGTCTTTATTATTATTTTTTATATATACAAGGTTTGATATGTAAATATCATTATTAAACCCTTTAGAAGAACCCTACCTCATCCCCACTTCTGCTTAGTTATATGTAATTACCGGGATAGTTTCGGACATGGTAGTTGTCAATTGTAAATATATATATACCCAAAGCCCCAATAGAAAAAGAAACCTCATATTTCATTATATTAGTTACATATCATTTTTTAATAAATAAATTATGCTTCATGTATTATATTTATTTTTAAATAAATATATCTGCTCTTATATTGTAGATCAATACAAGTTTCTTTTGTATATATTTTTTTTCATTGGCAAGTTTTTTTTGTATTAGTTATATGTATTTTAATGAATTATTTATACTTTATGTATTCTATTAATTATCAAATAAATACAATTACTTTCATATTGGTCAATACATGTTTTTTTTTTTATATTAGTTATATGTGTATGTATATATATATTATGAAATATTTGTGCTTCGTGTACTCTATTAATTACCAAATTAGTTATATATATTAATGAATTATTTATGCTTTGTGCATTCTATTAATTACCAAATAAATATAAGCACTTTCATATTGGTCAATACAAGTTTCTTTTATATATATATATAAAAGAAACTTGTATTGACCAATAAGAAAGTGGATGTATTTATTTGGTGCACAAAGCATAAATAATTCACTAATATACCTAATTTCTCGAAATAGAGCTTCCATCTAATTGCCTGAAGAGTTTGGTTGAGTACCACATTTGCTGAGGAGAATTTTTTCTTAAAAATTAAATTGTTGCGCTCAGTCCATATGTTGTATTCCAGTGCAGCAAGTGCCATTCTCGAAATAGAGTTGCTGTAGAACCATGAACTGTATTTCCCTCGCCAATGTTGGGGTGGCCAAGTGATTAGCTGAGGCCAGGAGGAAGGCATGATATGGAAACCACAACGTGCTTGTATGAAATTCCAAATTGGCTTGACAAAACTACACGTGAAGAAAAGGTGGTCATGTGACTCCAGATTGGTATTACAAAGGATGCAATTTGTGACATTTAGGTGCGCAGTGCATCTTCTATTGAGAGTTGGGAGTCGACGTTGGATGGCAACCCAAAGTGTAAAGGCATGCTTAGGAATCAGTGGTTTGGTCCAGACAAGGTGTGTCCACGGAAGGGTTGGCAAGTGCTTGGTAAGGTGTATCATTGTGCTAGCAATGGAGAAATTTCCTGCTGGAGAAGGTAACCATATGATCCTGTCTTGTTTTAGTGGCTGAGGTACTGGAAGGCTAAGTGTGGGCAGTAATTGTGGAAGTATTGTGGTAATTGCTAGAGGAAAGGACCATGTGGAATTCAAAATGAAGGAGCAGAGCTTAGTTTTGCTGTCATAGCCTGAAGAGGTGATTTGTTGAGGAGATACAAGCCGATGGAGTGGTCCTAAATGGCTCCAGTTGTCAAACCAGAAATTGGAGGAATTTCCATTCCCAATTTCGAGCTTGACAAGTGGAAGGATGGAGCTTCTAAGATTGAGCAGCCTTCTCCAAGTCCATGAGCATTGCCCAGGGATCTTAACCTCCCAAATACTTCTCCCCTTTAGAAGATAAGTGTTTATCCAATTGACCCAAAGCATATCCTTATTTGATATGATATTCCAGAAATGCTTCATAACGGCCACTTCATTCCAAGTTGCAAGATTGGGGATGCCAAGCCCTCTAGCTCTTTTGGGGAGGCAGCAAGCTTCCCAATTTACTTTGCCACCTGTGCTCTTGAGTGCAGGCCCAGACCAGAGAAAAGACCTGAAGATACAGTCTAATTCATCAATGATACTTTTGGGAAGGATGAATTTAGAGCTCCAAAAGGTTTGTGTAGAGAACAAAATTGCCTTAATCAGCGGTAATCAAAGAAAGATCCCTGCTGGTCCAATGAGAGATTCTAGAAGTAACCTTATCAATAAGAGTTCTGCAATCAGAAGCTCTGAGCATGGAAGTTACAAGTGGAACACCAAGATATCTGATTGGCAAGGAACCCTTTTCAAATCCAAGCAGTGAGAGAATATTGGCTTCAAGGGCTGGACTAATGCCAGTGGTGAAAACATGACTTTTATTATGGTTGATCTGAAGGCCAGAGAGTGAGGAGAAGGTGTCTAAAGCTTGTTTTAGAGTCTGAATTGATGGAAGGCTGGCATGAGAGAATAGCATGATGTCATCAGCAAAAATTAGGTGAGATAGTTTCAAGTCTTTGCATCTCCAGTGGAACTTGTAAGGTTTCTCCACTGTGAACTTGTTGATTATTGAAGATAGGACCTGCATAACATTAACAGACAAAAAGGGGGGAGAGCGGATCCCCTTGCCTCAGTCCTTTGACACTTCTGAAGTGCCCATTAAACTCACCATTGATGGAGATGGTGAAAGATGGAGTGGAAACACATGTGGTGATCCACCCAATGAATGTAGATGGAAACCCAAGCAATTTAAGAGAATCAAACTGGAAATCCCATGAGACTGTATCAAAAGCTTTCCTCAAGTCAATTTTGAGAGCACATCTAGGAGAGCAAGATTGTTTATGGTAACCATTAAGTAGTTCCTGAGCTAATAGAATGTTGTCCTCAATTTGCCTACCTTGGATGAAGGCAGATTGTGCATGGTCTATGAAATGGGAAAGGGTGGGCTTAAGCTTGTTGGCCAGTAGTTTGGAAATGCATTTGTAAATGGTAGTGCAGCATGAGATGGGTCTATAGTCACTGAAAGTTGAGGGATTTTGGATTTTGGGGACCAATGAGATAGAGGTGGAATTAACCTCCTTGATACATTTGTTATATATATTTTAATGAATTATTTTATTGCTTTGTATATTTTATTAATTACCAAATAAATGCAACTGTTTTCTTATTGATCAATACAATTTCTTTTAATTACCTCAATTTTTTTCTCACAACAATTTCACACCTTTTGGACTTCTTCTAATTTTAAATTCTCTTGCATATCAATGTTTGTTAAAATTTTGTACTTCGTAATTTATTCACTCTCTTTCACGTATATTTCCAGTATAATTAAATTACTATCCATTAAGTTTAAAAAGTGTTTTTGTATTTTCTTGAGCTTATTGCAAGTTAGAGAGATAATTATTTAATAAAAATTATTCGTACTGTATTACCATAATCAATATTGTGAGGCTTAAACATCTTGATCACTCACCACATCAGTAACAATAGAAAAAAATTATTTGATTTGGAACTCTTAATGATAGCAAAATCTGTCATATTTCTTAATTTTAGTAGGGACTACCATTAAAACAAGAGAAATTATTATTGAGTATTAAGCTACCTGGGCTAATAAAAACACAAGTTTATTCAAGAAAAAAACTTTTTCTGTTTCTTTTTTGCTTTTCTTCATGGTGGGTATAATTAAAGCGTTGGAGTCCGGGATAGTACTGCATCGGACAGCTCACAACACGTGGGATAGTACTGTATCGGACAGCTCACAACACGCAATTACACGTACATCTACTATGAGCTGTTTCATGTAATAACATTTACTTATGCGAGTAGTGATATTTGGGTAGGAGAGTGTGGCAAAATATTTGAACAGAACATATTATCCCACTTTCTTATGTTTAACCTGCATTGACCATTACAAGCACTGGGTCAAACATTTCTGCCCAGCAACTCGGTTTTAAAATCATTTTCCATACTGTAGTGCAGAAGATTGGGGCTCATAATGAAAATCATTTTGGAATCACCCTGTTCAATGACTTTGTCTTTCACCTCTTTTTTTTTTTTTTATTTCCAATGTTCCCACCATAGTAGTATATGAATTCCAATGTTCACACACACACTTTTTCCACACACTAGGACCATATTCACACACACACACACACACTTTTTCCACACACTAGTACCATATATACAGTGCGTGCTAAAAAGATCATAGCAAGCTAACTATGGCAAGTATAGCTCTCATAGTTGAAATCTGCATAATTTGCGCAAGCCTTTTCATCCCAATCTGCTGCACTGCTACTGCATATCAATCTCATCAGCAGAGCAAAAAACATGCTGTGTTGTTCGTCTTCGGCGATTCACTGTTTGATGCTGGAAACAACAACTACATCAACTGTGGCATTGCTAATCAAGCCAATTTCTGGCCATATGGTGAAACCTTCTTCAGGTACCCAACCGGGCGGTTCTGTGATGGGCGTCTAGTTCCGGATTTCATTGGTGAGATGTTATGTAATTCCTGTTTTCTGCTGTCAACTCGTAAAAAACAAAATCAATTGTAAAAATCATGATTTTGCTTTTCAATGAGAAGGTCATGCAACTGATACTCAAAAAGCTTAATTTGTTGCAGCTGAGTATGCAGGTCTGCCTCTGATACCACCATTTCTACAACCAGGTCTGCAACAGTATACCAATGGGGTGAACTTCGCGTCTGGCGGGGCAGGTGTACTAAATGAAACTCGCCAGGGAGTGGTATGTAGTCTCTGAGTTGCATATTTCTTTCTTCAGTGGCGCCAATCACCATGGAAATTTTCTACTTGTTAGTTTTCTTGTCCATTAAAATTCATAGGAGAATATTAGTAGAAGCACTGTAATAAGATGAGAGTAATCTCGAAACAAAAACCCGTGTTATCTCGTTCCATTCTCTTAGATAGGCCATGTTTGGGAGCGCCAAATCAGTGCCTTGGAATCGGAATTGGAACTATAATTTTCTCCAATTTTAATTTCATGGTGCTGATTCAGTTCTGCCAAACGCTACATATGACTATATGACAAATTGTGGGAGAAATAAAAGAGAACAAAAACAATCAAACCAGAGAGACTGGTGGTCTATGGGAAGAATGGTAGCTATGCAGTCAAAACTAGTAAGGTTAGTTATTTAAACTTTAGTTCACAAAACCGAGCCATTGGCTCAGGTAGTGTGACCCCTCCTCTTCAGAAGGGAGGTGAGGGTTTGAGTCTCATAGTGGACATTTGTGAGGGGGGGTTTTGTGAATATTTACAATACGATGGAATTTGATAAATAATAGTAGTGATCTATTGAACTTAACCTCCTCCTCCTTTTTTATTTTATTTTTTTCCCCCTAAAAGGGGCATTGGATAGAAACCTAAGTTGAAGGGTTCATTAATTTAGGAAAATGCTTTGTCCACCAAAGATTTTGCTGCATCCAAAAGGAAGGTGTGAGAATAACTTCAGTCAATTGCAACACTCTTGACTGAGACTTCTTAAGTGACTTATGAGACATAAAAAGACTCAGATAAAGAACATTACTCTCTAATAATCACTTTATTTCTAATGCCAATTCTGTGTTTCTTTTTCCAGATAAACCTTAAAATGCAGCTAGATTACTTCCTAAAGGTGAATAAAGCTTTAAGGCAGAAACTAGGTGATACAGAGGCAAAAAAGATGATGATGAGAGCCGTATACTTGTTTAGCATTGGTGGTAATGACTACCATAACATCTCCTCTGATCTGCCTCAGTCTTACAAGAGAGAGTATGTAGGGATGGTCATTGGCAACTTGACATCAGTGCTCAAAGTAAGAATATATATCTTTTGCAAGCATATATAATTATATATATATATATATATATATATATATATATATATGATTCTTTTTTCTTTCTTTTTTTGGGTTTTTTTTTCATACTACTGCAAATAAAGTGTTTTGGATGTTCAATATAAGATTTTCTCATTCTATGTACAGGAAATATACAATAAAGGAGGAAGAAAATTTGGATTTCAAAATGCAGGACCTTTGGGTTGCATACCGGGGACGTTGAAACGCGAAAATAGCAGTGAGTGTGTTCAAAATAACTCTGCCATGGCAAAACTACACAATATAGCTCTGTCTAAAGTCCTCCAGAAGTTAGAGAGTGAGCTACATGGATTCAAGTATTCAATATTTGATTACTACACTTCTCTCAGCCAAAGAGTGAACTACCCTTCAAAATATGGTATGTTATGGCCATCTTCTCATCATTTGATATTTTCCATATAACTATGTCCTTAGTTACATAAACTGGTGAGGCCCAGTGCATGAGGTTCCCGCCAATGCAGGGTTTGGGGAGGGTCTGATGTACATGGTCTTACCCCTGCACACAGAGGCTATTTCTGTGATTCGAACCCATGACCTCCAAGTCACAATGCAACAACCTTATATATATGTGTATTAAAGTATAACTCTTTCTGGTTTTGGTTTAAAGGTTTCAAGGAAGGGAAGATAGCATGTTGTGGCAGTGGGCCTTATAGGGGAGTCAATAGCTGTGGAGGAAAAAGAGGAGTGAAGAAGTATCACTTGTGCAGGAATCCTAATGAACATGTGTGGTTTGACTTTGCTCATACCACAGAAAGAGCTAATCAGCAATTAGCACAGCTAATGTGGAGAGGAGTTCCTAATGTCACTGGACCTTATTACAATGTGAAAGCACTATTTGAAATGTAATAGTTCTTCAAAACATTCAGGTTCTACCTTCTAAATGTTTTGTCTACGATGGAAAACAACATTATTTGCAGTATATTTACTTGTTAGTTGCTAAAATGGTAAAAGCTGAGAACGCATATTCGAGTCAAACGCAACCATTTTGTGCAAATAATTGCGACAAATAATTATGTACCGAGGTTAAAAGAGGATTGCTGAACATACACCTAGTTCAAGAGATAAACATAGCTTTTATGGCTTTCACACACCATTCCCCATCACCCGATTCAGAGCAAAACATACCAAGCTGGTGTTCTGCCGTTTGCACGGATGATTAAGCTTCGACAGAAATAGGATCCAAAATCACAAAACCTGTATCTGCAAGGCTCAACTTGTCCCAAACAACATCCACGTGTAATATATGTTTACACACACACACACAGAGGAAACAAAAACAATCTTTTTTTATTTCCAAGTTGACACTTCTTGTAGTTGAAATTTTATCATTTCATGATAAACTTTTTCTGTGCTATCTTAAACTCACTGAAGTATAATCAAGCTTGACACAGAGGCTCATAGTATGAGACCTTTGTCCAAAAATGTCTAACTAGTAACAACATTCTCTACCAATACAGCGAAATGTATAACAACATTCTATAATATACCAAAGATTGAGTTAAAATTTCCTTGATCAAGAAGTAATACGGTTTATTTAGTAAAAAAAAAAAAAAAAAAAAAAAAGTAAAACGGTTTATATTAAAAGATGGGTAATGCCAATAAGTTCCGTCAAAGATTGCAGTATATACAATATACAATAATAACTTCAATTAAGGTGGAATACAACACCAATCCATTGATGGTACACTAAAGCTTTTAATTATAAAAACTAAAATTGAGTACATAAATTTTGCCATACTTGGCTGGCATGCACAACCGGAACTAAAATTTGCACAAAATTTTTCAAGAAGAAAAGATAAGCTGCTTAAAGTGAGAAAGAACTAGAGCAAAACCTTTTAATTCTTGTTGGAGTTGTCTTGAGATGTGACAGTGGAAGGTGCAGCATCAACAAGCATCTTCACGACGTCTTTCATGCTAGGGCGCAAATTTGGCAGCTTGGTGGTGCAAAGCATAGCAACTTTCAACACTTCTATCATGTCATCTTGGACAAGATCAGACACCACTTTAGGGTCAAGAACTTTGAGAACATCTTCGCGGTTATTCAGATGAGCTGAAACCCAGTAAACTATGTCCTTTCCTTCTCCATAATCGTCCTCTACTGGTCTCCTACCAGTAACTAGTTCCAGCAGCACCACACCAAAACTATAGACATCACTCTTTTCGGTGATGTTTAGAGTATAGGCCAGCTCTGCGGAAGACAATAAAAAATGACAGGAAACAATTGCAGTTCAATAAGTCATTCGCTGAATAATCAATTGGTTAAGATTTGAACCTTAATCCATCAAACTGTAAATTTCAAATTTTCAAATAATATACTAAACGGATTTTCAAAAAAAAAAAAAAAAGTAAATTCAGAAAGAAAGAAATGAGCATGTCCATCCAGAAAAAAAATTAAAATTAAAATTGCCATAAAAGGTGTTGTCCCAACCAACCACTGTCACAAAAAAAAACCGAATTCTCACCATCATAAGCAACTAGCAATAATATTTCACACAGAACACTTGAAAGTGGAAATGAGTATATTTTCTTTAAGAAAAAGAAAAAGAAGAAGCAAAACTCACCGGGAGCAATGTAACCATGAGTGCCAGCAAAACAGCTTGATTCAGAAATCCTAGGGGACCCTCCTGTGATCTTTGCAACCCCAAAATCAGCAATTTTTGGTTCATTATCCTCATCAAGTAAAATGTTTGTTGATTTGATATCTCTGTGGAGAATTCGTGGGAAACAATCATGATGTAAATAAGCCAGTCCCTTTGCAGCTCCGAGAGCAATTCTGTACCGCTGGTACCAATCCAATTCTGGTTGCCCTCCCTTGACTTCTTGCTGAAGTGCGTCGAAAAGGTTACCATTAGGCATGTACTCTAACACCAAGAAACTCGAAGCTTCTTTCTTTAGACAGGCATAAAGCTTCAGTACATTTCTGTGCCTGATCTTCCCCAAAATCTCCATTTCTGCTGTCAAAACCTTCACCTCATTTCCCTTCCATATTTGCTTCACAGCCACTGTTCCACGGCCTTTCTTCAAATCCAACCGATATACTTTACCTGTACCTCCGCTTCCAATCAATTTCTCCTCATCCAAGTTACATATTTCATCTGCATTGAACTCCACCGGGTGAAAAGACTCAAGCTTCCATTTCGGATCTTTTCCCATCTCCCCGTCCTGATCATTTTCCACGCCTTCATTCAGTTTGAAGTTCCGGTAACTCACAAGCAATAAGCCACCTAGAATAACAACCAAGGCAAACAGTATGAGGCAGAACATAGCTAGTTTACTTTCTATAAATCCTTTGTGACCATGCTCCCCTTCACAAACAGCCATCCCCAAATTCACCTGGGTTGTGGAACTTTTATCAATACATAGCCCCTTGTTTCCTGAAAATGCTCGGTCTCCTCCCATAGTAAGAAGATCAGATGGAACTCGTCCCGATAGTTGGTTGTTAGACAAATCAATGGAACTTAGCTTCAATTTCTGTAAACTTTCTGGTACTGGACCAGTAAGTTTATTTCCCGAAAGATTCAGAGAATTCAGATATCTCATATGCGAAAGGGTATCAGGGATATTACCACTTAAAGAATTGCGAGCAAGATTTATGTCCACCAGCCTTGCACATTCACCCAATTCTGCTGGTATTGATCCTGCAAATGAGTTATCATACAAATACAAAGAAGACAACTGCTGTAGAAGGCCGATTTCAGAAGGTATATTGCCGGAGAACTCATTATTACTCAACTGGAGCTTTTCTAACTGTGTCAGCTTTCCAATTTCTGGTGGAAGATTACCCAAAAACTGGTTGTTCAGCAATACCAACTGATTCAAGCTGGTGGAAACCCCAATATCTGGAGAAATCGTTCCGGTAAAATCATTGTCGCTAAGATCAACCATTTTTGCATAAGGCAGTGCCCAAAAGCTATCTGGGATTTTCCCGGACAGGCGGTTTTGATGGATCCTCAACCTCTCTAAGGACTTACAAGCGGCATAAGAATCCGGTAGCTCCCCATAAAATTTATTTTCCACAGCAAGCAAGAACCGCAACTTCCCACTCTCACACAAGTATCTCGGAAAGGCACCAGAAAACTGATTCTCTGATATGTCTAAACTAGTCAACGGCGAAAACCGGCCAAAATTTTCTGGGAATTCTCCTGAAAAACTGTTCTGGAAGATGTGAAAGGCATCAAGATGGCGCAAATCTCCGAATCCTGGAGGTATTTTTCCTGAGAAGTTGTTCAGAGACAGCTGAAAAACTTTTAGTTTCTTCAGATCACCGATCCCTGGAGGCAATTCCCCATGCATTTGATTTCTGGATATATCAATTTCCTCCAATTGAGTGAGCTTCGCAAGCCCTGGCGGAAGTTCTCCTGTCAAGTTGTTCCTATAGAGCTCGATTTTGTTGAGATTTTGCAATTTGGATATAGATTTGGGGAAATTGCCGGAGATATTGTTCATGGAAATATCCAGTGTCTGCAGTTCCTTGAGTTCGAATATCGATTCAGGGATTACACCTCTCAACTGCGAAGCAGCCAGAAAAAGATATGTCAAGTTCTTCAGATTTACAAGGCTCTCCGGGATTTCGCCCTCGTCATAGTCATTGTCCCCCAGGGCTAATGAAGTCAACCAAGTTAATTTTGCCACCCAGGTAGGAAATTTACCAGAAAAGGAGTTCGATGACACATCAAGAACCTCCAAATTTGTCAGAGAAGAAAGATCAGGCAGGCTGCCATTCATATGGTTTCCGGTGAGATTCAAAACTCTGAGGCTGCTGCAATTGTTCAGCTGGGCCGGAAGATTCCCGGAAATCAAATTCGTCGTCACCGCCAGAGATGTGAGGCTCTGCAGCACAGAAATAGAAGCCGGTATCTCGCCAGCTATGGACTTATTGTCTATCAAAATTTCCGTGACTCGACCGGTGTTTGGATCACAAGTAATTCCAGCAAAGTGGCAAGGAGACTCCGCATCTTTCCAGGAATCTAGATAATTCAAAGGGTCTTGGAGCTGGTTTTTGAACTTGAGGAGTGCCTCCATTTCGACCGTTGAGGACATGGAAGGCGGGAAAAGGAAAAAGAAGCATAGGAGGAAGCTAGTCATCAGAATTTGGAGGGAGAGGAGTGGAGTTTTGGCCATTGTGAGAATTTCAGAGGGGCAAAATGATCATTTGACTATGGTAAACAGATGTAGAACTCCATTATTGCTTGGAATAGCTGAAAGACAAAGATTCAACAATCATATAACCACATAAGAAAAAGCTAGCAAGTGTATCAAATACATAAGAGACAAATACTAAGCTGGCGTTACTACGTCAATTCGTTTTTAGTTGTGGATTGTTAAGAGTGACATCTCCCTTCTAAGCCACTCATTGTTTATCTTCTCCATATTTGTTTAATTTCCACTTGATCGCTAAGTAATATATATATATATAGACACACACACTGAACTCACACACAAACATTGACCAACATGACTATATGAAGAATCAAATTCTACTAGGATCTTCCACAATAGGATATTTTATTTTAATTTTTTTAAGGATATCACATCCCAAAAAAACATGCAAACAACATTCAGCAAGAAGGAAATTGCTCTTAAAACAAACATTTAAAGATCAAAATACAATTTTGAATTTAAGGGTAAATACTGTTCCTGAACCACATATCACAATCAAAAGTTTATTTAGATTCTAAGTGATTCTTGTTATTTTCGTAAGTCAAGTTGTGCCCCCACACCGGTGCGTCGCTCACCAAAGAGGCTTCATCTACAAATATTAGGGTTCATGGATGATCCTTTGAATTTGAACAATGTCAGTTAAAATACATGAAGATCCAACTATATAATAATTTCAAAGTTGCACACATCATATTATCTTAAAATATGAGAGAGAGCATGAAAAAAGAACATTTATACTACTTAGTACAATTCTTAAATTAAATAAGTAAAAAATTCTGATTTTCCGTTTTTAAAATTTCCCCTAATTTTCTAAGCTTTTTCTGCAACTCAGAGAAGAATTAAGTGACAAAATTTCAAAGAAAAAAAAAAAAAATGAAAAAATAAAAGTGAAACATTTAACAAATCATAAATAATAATTATTTTTATTTATATGCACAATCATTGAATATTCATTAAAAAAACAACGTGATTTCAGGAGATGTACTTGCTTTTTTGACTCAGAATCACTTCATGGGTTCTTTCTTTAAGTACTTAATTCTAAATTCAAACCTATTATATACACCTCAAAAACACAAAACATAAACTTCTTGTATAGCATTATATATGACACACACATAAACACGACGAGTGTGTGTTAACGAGTAAACAACACACACATATAGAAGTAAAGAAAATGTTCTAGAATTTTACCGGAAAATTTGAGGGATGTTGGAATCCGGGCTTCAAAAGGTAGTTTCCTTCTATGTCTTTCTCCAATGTTTTTTTTCCTCTCTCTTTCTTCACTCTGACACAAACCCAATTATCAAATTCTGAGGAACAAACAGAATTCGTGACTGCGGGAATTTTCTCGGGAGATTGAATGAGTTTACCGAGAAAATCTTTCCAAGGCTCCTCTGTTTTCAAAGCCA